TTTCCCTCATTATTAAGTCTATGAGATTCATTCATGTTGTTGCAGTAGTTGGTTCTTTTTTGTTGTTGTTTTATTGTTCCATTGTTTAAATATACAACAGTTTATTCTCTTATGAATGGGTATTTGGCTTTTTGTTGTTGCAAAATTTGGCCATTATGAATAAAACTGAGTATTCTCGTATGTGTCTTTTGGTGGACGTATGTGCTCATTTCTCTAGGGGATACATCTAGAGGTAGAGTTACTAGATCAGAAGGCAGGTGTCCATTTAGTTTTAGTAGATATTTCCAACGTGGTTTTATCACTGTATTCTCTCACTAGCAGTGTATGAGAGTTCCAGCAACTCTGCATTCTTGCCAGTACTTGTTGTTGGTGGTCTTTTGAATGCTCTCCATTCAGAAAGGTGTTTGTTTTATTTCATTGTGGTTTTAATTGCGTTTTCCTAATGAGTCATCATGTTCACCCTGTTTCTTACGATTGTGACCACTGGTGTGTCCTCTTTTACGAAATGCCTATTCAAGTCTTTTATCCATTTTATTAATTGGGTTCTTCATTTTTTTCCTATTTATTTGTTGGCATTCTTTGCATATTCTGGATATTCATCTCATTGGAGATGAAAATCACAAACATCTTCTCTTACTCTCTCAATAGTACCTTTTGATGACTGGAAGTTCTTTATTTTGGTGAAGTCCAATTTATCCTTATTTTTTGTGATTAGTGCTTTTTGTGTTCTTTTACAAAACTCATTGCCTTTCCATCTCTTGGGTATTTAGAGGCAGAAAAAAATGTGGAGAACCACTGCTGTAGAAAGTAAGCCACAGTCACACTGGACATTATTGGATTCCTGTTTTTGGACTGGCTGTTTGCCTACAGTGGTGTTCTGAGCCCTCATATTTAGGAAGCACTTTAGGTTTCACAGAGCTCTTTATCATTCGCCCTCATTTGATCCCAGGCAGGAGCTCACTAAAGGCCTTGCAGGAGCGTCTAGTCCCTTTTGGTGGCAAGGGACGTGGGTGGTCAACACGAGCTCTCTGGGGGCCGCAGTATCTCCACATTTCCCATGGCTTTGTGCTTGAGGGCAAAGCATTAGACTGCTTGGTTCAGATACTGGCTCTGTAACTGTGGACAAGGTACTTAACCTATTTGAGCCTTGATCTTCTCATCTGCTAAATGGGATAATGAGAGTATACCTCCCTCCTGATGTAGTTGTGAAGATGAAATGAATTAATTAATAGATAGTGCTTAGCACACTATCTGGCACACAGTGCTGGGTTATTATTATTGTAGTTGTTCTTTTATTATATTGTTTGATAGGGTCACAATTGTTTTTTTTAATTGAAGTATAATTGACTTAAAATATTAGTTTCAGGTGTACAACATAGTGATTTGATATTTTTATAGACTACACACCATACAAAGTTATTATAAAATATTGACTGTATTCCCTGTGCTGTACGTTACATCCCTATGACTTATTTTGTGGTTTGTACCTCTTAATCCCCTTCACCTATTTTGTCCCGCCTCTTACTCTTCTCGCCTCTGGTACCCACTAGTTTGTTCTCTGTATCTGGGGGTCACAGTTCTTTGCAGAGCTGGAAAGAGCTCTGGTCATTTACTCCATTTCTCTTTTATTGTGTCATATTTTCCTTTTCTCATTCCACACTCCCACCTCGTGAGTTCTGTCTCTTTCCC